CTGACCCCACCAACATTGGTTGCACAGAGAATTGCAGCACCTCAGACGATATGGTGTGAATAGGCCACCATGGCCACCTCACTTGTGCAACAAGGCTATGGTACGGACCATCAATTCAGGGTTCCGTTCTAAGATTCAGCAGTGATTCATAGTCTCAATGTTACAGTTACATTTCAAGATTTCAAGTAATGATGAATCATAGTTTGACAGCAATTAAGTCTTACAGTTTCTTTTCACAAGTAGTGGTAATGGCATGTATCTGAACTGATGCTGAAGGATGGTGAATGGATGATACCTATCAAGAGGGATTGATTCTACAACCTTGGGATCAGTGCTCTTCAATAATGAAATCACAGCTCTGTTTCACGTGATGGTATATAGTGAAATAACTGTTCAAACCTTTGCAGGAAATAGAAAATGATTGTCATGAAATTCTCTTCTTTACGTCTATATTTCTAGCTAAGCTGAATTCATTCCGAAATAATACTTTCATCAATTCTAAAACCAAACTTAAAATATACTGGTAAATGTACCTCCTTTGAACAGATGCTAACACCGTTAAGAAACGGGAAAGCAAAGAGTTCTCAGACGTTATTAATGACTGACCCTTCCTTTTGAAATCCGTTGGAGTCCATTGGAATCCCATCAGGATACCTCTGACCTGGCCCAATGACCCTCATCAATCACACGCTTGTTATATCACAGTCTAAATGCTTGTTATTGATGACGCAGGAAATGGACTCCAACACAGACTTTTGAAAGGAGGAAAGCTGGTTTCAAGTATCAGTTTTGAAATTGGTATATTTTCATATTGTTAATTTCAAGTTTCTTGATAGTAATGAAGGATGGACCTTTTTTCCTCTTAGGCCAATTAGTTAAATTGTGCAATTTATTTATTTGTGTTTCGGTATTTGTTTCTTTTGTCATGTCTGTACATCCTTAATTAAGTGAGTATTCATATATTGATATAGGTCTTATTGTCCTGTCAAATGCCAGAAAATAATCAGTGTCAATTATCTCTCAAAACAGATTCCATTGGGCGTAAAAGGCAAAATAGTGATGCCAATTTTATGAATGGATCACTGAAAATCAGTGATGACACCAGGTGCTCATGAAAGCATGTCCTGTGCCTGTAGCACCGACCGCTCACACAATTTTCATAAAAAAGTTCGTGTTTGTTACACCGCACCCAGGAATTCTCCTAGGAATGTTTCCTAACCTGCATCTTGAACAATCACAAAGTGCCAAGACATTCACATGGCATTCATTCCTATGTCTGACATTGCCTTCAAGCAATTTAAATTTAAAAATTCAAACTTTAAAATGTCCAGTGTGTAACATTAAACCATGACAGTTCCTTTCCAGCTGACAGAAATTTCTCCATTTCCTACAGCTTTCCGACATGTGACATCATTCTGCCAAATGAAAAATGAGCTCAACTTTACATCTGTGAAAGCTTGACTTTTCTTCCATTTTTCCATATTTTCTCAACTCCTACACCAGTGTGATGGCTATGCATGAATTGAAAACGGAACGTTTCTTGCCACTGGCCTTCACCAAAGCCATGCCATGTGCCTTATCTAGTTTATATGTTTTCCCTAGGAATCGGAGTAGAAGAATAGAGAACATGATTTTGATCTCCAACACATGGTTTTGTTACGCCACCAACTGATGTAATTGCAAAGAGGGAAACCATTCATGAAATTGTTGCAGTATGTGAATTGTTCAATCATGAAATGACACAAGCAGGGTTGTATTATTTTCCCCTTGTTCTCAACAGCAAATATTGGGTAGCTCGTTAACCCACATAATTAATAAGAATTATACGCCTAGCTACATTCCAGCAGAGGTTATGATAGACGACGTCAATAGCATTGATGTCATCTCATGCCAACGGCTGATTGTTAATTACACCCGTTCATGCGATCTATTCTTACGCAGCATCACGTGCAGGCTGTTCCCGATAACTCTAATATACATTACTGTGACTGTGGTAAACCTAAAGCACATTAGGATGAGTATGATATAGGAATAGGTGAATAGTAATAGGGTGCATAGATTAATCAAGACCCGTAAATTGTCATATGTTCCCTGTCTCACATTTCAGTCTGTCAGATGAAAATGATAAGTCTATTAATTCGCAGATGGCTTTGGTTACATCTTACATCTACTCTATTAAATCGCCTGCTCAGCATTTTTAGTCCAATGGTGATTTTGTATCATTTGTTTGTCATGGCGTTCTGATGAAATGTTTTTCACCCGGTATCATTGTGTTCAGTGTGGCTTGATGCCTGTTAATAACATTCTATATGTAGCGTGTTAATAACATTCTCTACGTAGCGTGTTAATAACATTCTATACTTAGCGTGTTAATAACATTCTATACGTAGCATGTTAATAACATTCTACACGTAGCGTGTTCAGATCAGACTTCATCTTCAGTTACAGGACTGAAAGGCAGCACACAATCAACCAATAACAATTAGTTGACTAAGTCATTAATAGTTACAGATGTCTATCTTGCTCCATGCCTATTCATGACTTGGTAGAACCTCCACAACCATTGGGTGGCCTTGTGGTTAAAGTGTTTGCTCATGCCAAAGGCCCAGGTTCAGTTCCCATATGGGTACAATGTTTAAAGCCCAGTTTTTGTGTCCCCCTGCCTTGAAGTTACTGGAATATTGCTGAAAGTAGTGTAGATGTCACTTATTCAATGACTCACTCAACAAAATTAATTTCAAATGTGAAATTTGAAATTCAAGTAATATTTTAATCATGTATGCTTGTTTTCATGTTGACATTCACTTGCCAAAACGTGCCTTCTTGAGGTACCTTCTGTAAGTCTTCTAGCACCTCCGCTACTTAGTACAGATCTTACACATTGTGTGTGCCACCATGTTGAGCATCAGGACCTCAAGAGCCATTACACTGCGTTGCTAGCATCGGGCACTGCATACGCTGCAGTAATATGAACATTCTCAGCATCACGGATGTACACAATAAAAGTCTTTACAACAACATCGGCGCATGGTCAGCACCATCTGTAACAAGCAGGGTATTTTCTTGCCAGTAAAAGAGCATCCGAGCACAACATGTAAACACTATAAAACTTGTTCTTCTCACCAGGAGAGCAATTGGGCCAATGTAGATAGAGTGTGTTGGCTTGTCCAGCAGCACACCTGGCATCGAGCCATCGGAGGCAAAGACGTTTAAAGGCCTTGTTGTGTTCACCATCAGTATGGAACAGTATTCTGTTGTATCGTTTTTAGGTGGAACTGAAATTATTCTTTTGTATATCATTCCAAATTCCTGTTGTTTTCATTATGTTGTATACATTGTGACACCTTTCCTAACCTTGCTATGATATATCTATTATCTATGTGTAACTGACTGTCATGGTTCCATGTAAAAAACAATTCCATGAAACTCATACTTTTCAACATTCCCGACTTTGTCATAGTATGTATACATGTATTTGATACTGTGTGAAAATATGTGTAGCCTTGTGACATATATATTGACACTCTGAGACATATTGATATTAATATCCCAATTGCCTGGATCAATGCTCATGATATTAATCTCTGGATTGTCTGGTCCAGACTTGATTATTTACAGACTGCCGTCATATAGCTGGAATATGGCTGAGTGCAGTGTTAAACAACACACAAACAAAACTTGACATTGTCATATAGTGCAACTATTGATACCATCTGATGCTCTTCTTGACATTGTCATGTAGTGCAACTATTGATACAATGTGATGCTCACTATTGATATCATTTGATGCTCTTCTTGACATTGTCATATGGTGCAACTATTGATACCATGTGATGCTCTTCTTGACATTGTCATATAGTGCAACTATTGATATCATGTGATGCTCTTCTTGACATTGTCATATAGTGCAACTATTGATGCCATGTGATGCTCTTCTTGACATTGTCATATAGTGCAACTATTGATACCATGTGATGCTCTTCTTGACATTGTCATATAGTGCAACTATTGATGCCATGTGATGCTCTTCTTGACATTGTCATATAGTGCAACTATTGATACCATGTGATGCTCTTCTTGACATTGTCATATAGTGCAACTATTGATGCCATGTGATGCTCTTCTTGATATTGTGCTGCTATTTAGATGCTCTGCATTTTATATTGTCCTTAACTCTTTGAAAACCTCAAGATTTAAAAAGGCCAAACTCGGCTTGTCCAGTTCAACATTAAAGTCTTTTAAAAAACTGTTATGAAAGTCAACATAATAATACAATTGCCATGGGTTAAAGTTCCAAGACAAAGGTCTTCCAGGAGTACATGGCAGCACTGATGGCATAGTGTGTAACTCTGTGTTGTTATGTATTTACATTGTCACAAAACATACACATACACCTTTTGAAAGGGGGCAGTAAACTACCATTAACATAGAGGAGTAATGAAATGTTTCTTAAGCAGAAAGAGACTGTAAGCAGTGCCGTAGCCAGGCAGGGGGGCAGGGGAGGCAGTTGGCAGTGCCCCCCTGGATTTTCTATAGAAAAAAGTTTTATTTGAATCAAGTTGTGGACAAGTGATACTTGTACAAATATTTGTCCCCCCCCCCCCCAAAAAAAAAAATTTACTATGGCCTTGGTAAGTACCTATCACTCTGGATGAAGTTTGCCCAACTTTAATGGTTTAATGGTTCAATGACCTGATTGATAACTTCCTGTAGATATACAGGTAAAGTGTAACCATTCCACAAGTCCCTCATGCAGTCTTCTTAAAATTAAAAATGTAAAAAAATCCACATCAATCCTTTGATGTAATCAAGGGTATCAATCTTTAAAGAAATTGAATCATCTATGTGAAAAAAAATCAAATATTGTATTGGAGAATTGTGTAAAAAAAGAACAAGCAACTTTTGATGTTTTTGTGTAACTGTCAGTGCGTTGAAACAGAAAGATTTTCTCCAAGGCATCACAGCTCTTGATGTAAGGAAGAAGAGAATAATCAGCTTACCTGTGCTTGTCTGCTCCAGGGAAAACTCCAATAGTACTGCACAAAATAGGATCCCACAGTAAATGTACTGACCAATTAGTATTGGCCAACACTTCTCTATTATCAAGTAATTACATTCCTTCTGATGAGCTTTTGTGACTTCTCACCTAGAGAGGCGAGAGAGAGAATTGTAAGCCCACGTGCAGTGCAAGCGAGGGTATAGCAAACGGTAGACACACACACTCGCAAATAGATCCAGATGGTAAACTCCAGCTAGGTTGGGAAGCTACCACACCAGCGCTGACAGCCGGCTGCATGGAAGCCATGCACTACGCCAAGGTGCCAAATGTATTCCACATTTCTGTGGTCGGAAAGCACAGGGAAGTTCTCCTATGTCGAACTAAAACAAATTTCTTGATATTCACTATCACTGTATTTTTTTCACTTTGAGTGCCAGTAATCTCTTGTTACAGAATATCCTCAACCATCAGCTGCTGATGAAGCAGGGGAGTGTTTAATTTACTGATGCCACTTTTTATAACTATATATCAAAATGACAACTGACAGTTTGTCAAATTTGATTTGCAAAGTTGATATTTTAGAAAGAAGCTGCAAATTGTTTTCTTCACAAGCTGGTATGATTCTTGATCGATGTAATGTTATCGGATTTGCTAGTTGGCCAGAAGTTGCCTCGGATTGACAACACCTCCACAAGTCTATCCCAAGTGAGAGCTCGAACTATGTATGTTGTAGTTTTTTGGTTAGACGTTGTCAGACGTTTTTACTTTCCCTGTGAGTGTAATAGCTCCGTGGACTAGTCAACCTCTTCCGCTATGTCCAGTGAGTCCTGACATGGAAAGGAAACACTTTTACAACATATAGCACATTAAAGGAGTATGTCGTTCAAGTGTTATCGGCTGTTGAAGTTGCTGCGTAAATATTATTTGTTGTTCCCTTGAGATGGGTCCACGTTTTGATTACTGTGTTGAGGAGAGTCCTGGAAGAGAAAGAACCGAGGTTAGTTTCATGTTAACAGGAGTAGGTTTATGTCAGCTTTGCTGTCAACAGAGAAGATGGTCATGGTAATTGTGTCAGACATTAACCAGCTGTAAAGAAGGACGTGTTCTAACATAATAATAGATTCATTAAACAGCAAAATATTGCACATCTAAAATTCTTTGGAAAAAAATCCTGTTAAGTTAAATTCTAGTTTTAAGTAATAAACCGAAGCTGTATAAATGCTTAAGGTGCATCCCTATAATTATATTATGTGGAAAGGAAAGTGATACCTCATGAGACAAAAAACAGTTTTTGTTTTTACAGGTTAGGAGTTTCCTTAGATAAATCTCTTTCAAATATGGCATTTGGGACCTAGATTTGCAGTTAGCATTCTCAAATTATCAATTTTCTCAGTTTTCTTTTGCTGCAGCCTTGCAAATGTTTCTGTTGGGAATACCATGTTCCAATGAGTTTTACCAGACGTTTGTTAAGTCTACGTTCTACATACATTATTGTCAACATGTTTGTAAACAAATGAAAAACTGCATTACAATTAATACTACTAAAAAAAAGTTCAGGATCACCCGACTCCTTCATTTTACTATAGTGGGTGGTCATGCCATGACAGATTAACTATAGTAATATGAAAGAATTGTGTGGTCCTTAACTTCTTTTGAGTAGTATAAGTGAAACAATTATAGTTAGTTTTTGAAAAAGGTTATCATGAAGCAGATTAATTACTCTACTACATACTAATTGTTAGTTCTTCTATCCAAACAACAAATGGATGATAAGTCTTACAATAATATCGTTTTTTAAATATTATTGTCACATTCACGTAGGATCTCATCATTTGATGATGTGATCAGATGGAGGCTTGATAGTCATCTCTTGCATCATACTTAACTCCCATGGACTCTATAGAAGTCAAATTTATTCTTTTTACCTGTGTAACTCCTACACTCAAGATGCAATCAACATGTCAAATAGAAATATTTATGAACAGGCTTCTTTTGGGGTAATTTTGGAAACATATTGTTCCTAGCATATCACCTGTGGTGTATATCATGTATATATCTTACATTAGTATATCAGTCAGACAAAAAGTCGGTGCATCGTTTCTCCAACTGTCCTGATAGTGCTTGTGAGCGCACTGCTGTGAGGGCTGGGAGTAGCTTATCAGCCTCGGTGTCTCCGCGGACTTATAAACCAGAAATGCAGTCTACCTAGACCGGCGCAGGAGAGATGATCCCAAACACATGCATGGTGTTTGGATTACACCAGGGCCAGATTGCCATGGATCACTCTTACCAAATGTAATTCATACCGGCTCTATCAGCTCTCATGTGCAGCTCTTCTCCCTGTCTGAGTGACCATACACACCCTCCACTACTCTCTCCCTTCTCTGTAGTGGATGTACATATGTAGCCAGTCTTGTCTACCTTGCAGCCTCCATTACCCCTCACAACCTCTCCTGATCCCCGCTCCTTGCAACCATCACTGTGTTCCTTATACCATTTGTTGTTACTCACTCACTCACTCACTCACTCACTCACTCACTCACTCACTCATTTTTAAACCACTGTCATATGATTGGAATATTGACGAGGGCGGCGTTAAACAACAAACACTCACTCACTCATCTCCCTTTTCCTTTCTCAAAGATGTGGCCCACTCACTCACTCACTCACTAACTCACTCACTCACTCACTTTCAAACCACTGTCATATGACTGGAATATTGACGAGGGCGGCGTTAAACAACAAACACTCGTTCACTCACTCACTCACTCACTCACTCACTCACTCGCTCACCTCCGTTTTCCTTTCTGAAAGATGTGGCCCACTCACTCACTCACTCACCTCCGTTTTCCTTTCTTAAAGATGTGGCCCACTCACTCACTCAATCACTCACTCAATCACTTACCCACCCACCCACTCACTCACCTCCGTTTCCCTTTCTGAAAGGTGTTGCCCACTCACTCACTCACTCACTCACTCACCTCCGTTTTCCTTTCTGAAAGATGTTGCCCACTCACTCACTCACTCACTCACTCACCTCCGTTTCCCTTTCTGAAAGATGTTGCTCACTCACTCACTCACTCACTCACTCACCTCCGTTTCCCTTTTCGGACCCAAACCCTCCGTATCCCTTCATGTACATGTCACTAGAAACTATTCCCTCAGGTGCAAAGCCATCCCCCTCCCTCCCATTCACCCCATCCCACCAAAGGTTTGTTCCTTCACAATCCACACATCAGCCCTGCAGTTAGCTCCACCATGTCACACCTTCCCCCTCCCAAGTGGTCCCGAAATGAATCACTTTACCCCAGACACAACACGCTGTCAGACTGTGTTATTCAACCAAGATGACAACTTCTCTGGCTGTAACAATCTCAGGTTCGGAGCTGGTTTCTTGTATGGTTGTATGACTTTGTTGGGCATATTATCAGCAGGAATTCACACCAGCTGGGGTTATGACATCTTCTGTGTGAATTCTGCCTTCTGACTCTGTTACCCTAATCCCACTGAGGCAACTGTCTCTCTGGGTTTGGCCATCACTGTGGTCCCTTTAGATACACAGTGCACTCAGTCATGAATATTGTCAGTTTGTTTGTTGTTTAACGCTGCACTCAGCAATATTGCAGCTATATGCAGCGGTCTGCAAGTAATCGAGTGTAGACCAGACAATCCAGTGATTGATATCATGAGCATCGATCTATGCAATTGGAAAGCAATGATATGCATCAACCAAGTCAGCGAGCCTGACCACCCGGTCCTAGCTGTCATAATAGTCGCCTCTTACATCAAGCATGGGCTGCTGAAGACAATTCTAACCGGTATCATAGCAAAAATGTTGTTCACAATACACATTTGGGATTGCAAGTTTTTTTAGTTTTTTTTGTAAGTTGCATGCATGGTTTACACAAAGTTGTTCTCAAAATCATTGGTCAGTAATCAGAACGAAAATAAAATTAGATTCTTCCCCACAAAAGCAGAATTCCGTAAAGGCATTAGGATGACATCTTTTAACAGGAATTGTACACACACAAGAATCACGTTTCCAATTCTGAAGGTCAGCTTGTCCATTGATCGGCTACTAGAACTGAGCACAAGAAACAAATCAAAGGTCAAAGGGTGGTTGTGAAATAGTAGGCTTTGAAATCATGCATCCTGTCTGAAGTTTGTGGCAAGCAATATCCGTGGTATTAGATGAACACGCAATGTTGCAGCCCTTAGCTGGGCAAGGAGCAGTGAGTTTGAATCCAGGACTTGGTATGATCGTTGGCCTGTCAGCAGCATGGCTGTGTTTGGAGGTTCCATGCATATATATACGACCTGCGTCACACTGGACGTCCTCTCACAATAAGCTAGCATGACACAACAGGAATTATGTTCGAAGTGTTAAACCCAACTCACTCACCCTGAAGGATGTGATGATATTTTACATTATTTTCCTTTGTAACTGAATTTGAAAGAACAAAAGAATGCCATCCAAAGTTCTTCTAGATACACATTAAATTTTCTGAAAAAATAAAGGTTTCAATATTTTCTTTTAAACAGCAAAATTTCTCCCAATTTGCACTTTTAATTTCATCAGTTGGATTCAGTTGATAGATTTTATTACAATGGGTTAATGATCATCAGGTACAAAAATTGTCTTCTGTCAAAACAGCACCATTCAAGTCTGACCTGCTGGAAGTTAGTGAGAACTTTTAGACCAAATAACACATTATTCTCAAAAGATTTTTTTTGTTCAAATCCCTTGTCAGTCAGCGCAGCTGTTAATCAAATTGATCTGTCAACCTTTCTGAGTGTGATCATTTTAATGAAAAATCACTTTCAGTAGTTGAGAAGGCCTTTCAGTCAGGAGCTCCCTATTGGATTAGAGTTTTTACAATAATTTAATACCCTGTCTATCTAAGGTTATTTGAAAAGCATAAAAAAGTCTGTGATTTTTTAAATGTTTGAAATTGCAAATGTTTTTTTCCTATTTTGTATATTTCTGTTTATATGGCTATGTCATTTTGTTTACATCAAGACGGCTTCATTTCCAGGTCTTTTGAGCCATCGCTCTTCGTAATAGACATAATGACAGATCTCACCGCCTCCCCTCTAATGTATAGATATATGATGTCAACAGTCACTATAATTGCCCAGGCCATGTTTTCTTCCTATGTTTTTTCCAGGTTTGTTTGTTTTGCTGTTTGTTTTTTCTGTAGAGATTGCAGATAATGATTATGATTGGCATGAGTCACTGGCAAAGTTGCATGCCTCTGTAAACAAAGGTGGGCTTCTTGGGGAACAGCAGGGCACAGGGAGTCGGTCGGTAACCTTACATAACCAGTACTGTGACGGTGGGGAGTTTATTGATATGTCTACTTGGTTTGTATACTTCTAGAAGACTGAAAGGTGAGGTGAAATGGGGTTTAATGCTCAAGATTATTGCTCTTATATAATGACGTGCATGCACGTGTGTGGCTGTGGTAGAGTCCGGACTAATGCTGGAGTTATAGTGCTAGCCCACTGAGATACCATTCCACAGTTTAACATGGAGACCCCACTCAGACACAGTATACTGAGACCGTCCTTGTTTTAGCCCCTTAATGCCAAGCACCAGGCAGGGTAACATCAAGTAAACATCTTTTGGTATGATGCAGCCAGGGATCAAACCCAAGCCCTTCACTCTCCACTGGGCCATGAGACAGAATGGTTTGAAACTTCCATTGTGTGATGTCCTTGTCTGAAGGGGAGAAGCCAGGTCACATGAAGTAATTCAGTCCTGACAGCAGGCACCAGGTTTGAATGTACACCAGGTATACCTGAACTTCCACAGTGGATATCTTGTAAAGTGATTCAGCTATTTTCAAATTTGTTTTAAACATCAACCCCATGAAGGTTCCTAGATGGATTAAAGGTTCCCCAAAGTTCCAAATGTGATGAAAATGATGCTTTGTGACCATCATGGATGTATGGCCGGGGCAGGGATGGGTGACTG